TAAAACCATGGAAACTTAAAATATCATATTTAATATAATTCAAACATAATGCATGCAGTCAACGGATGATAATATATCCATCTAATTGACATGGGCTATTAATCAGACAGTCCATAATTAAAGTCAAAACCATATGAATCTTATTATGGTAAGAGCCTGTGTGCATCATTATAAAGTCACATTTGTGTTGACAATATAATATACTGTAAGGTACTTTTAAAACACATTATAAAGCTAATTAACAAAATTACATTAATTTTCAAAATACTAGCACCTTTAGGCAGAAGGGGATTTATAGATCAAAGTAAATTCGTTAACTATCTTATGCCATTTTCCAAAATATCGCATCTAATAATACATTTGAGCAAGATACTATATATAATAATTCAAAAATGCAATGTTAGCCGTTTTTTGTAGAGAAAATCAAATAAATATCAATGATTTTGTTACTTTGGCAGCTATCACTCACTTTTATTTCAAAATATTTCTCTTTGTGAAAAAAAAAAAACAAGGATAGACTTAACACCCATGAAAAAATTCACTCACAAAAATAATAATTATACAACGAATCGTAATTATCAACTGATGAAAGGCAAAATTCAAATGTGATTGTGAGACAAAATTGGTAACAAAATTTTAACATATATTACAATATATCTCATAGGCAAGATCCAAGGACTAAATGAATAAAAATTATTTTCAAATTAAAACTCCATCTAATTATCAAGTTATTTTCAATCCATTAATTGATTACCCTAGCAATCCTATCTACATATATATGCATATAATTTTGTATCTTAAAATGTCAACTTTCCTGTGTACATAGTAATATAACAAAAAGTCAGAAGTGGCAAAGTTAGCTGGCATAATTTATCTCCATTCACTTCGAAACGCAGATAGAAGTGATCAATCACTTCTTAAGGCATTGTGCAAGACATATGTTACTCGAAAAGCAAAAGCAAATTACCAACAAATACATGCAGGTTGAAGTTGTTTCAAATAATAAAAGTCAATTTAAAAGTTGTGTTTTGAAGGCCTACATAACAAGCATTTCAAACCTATTGACATGAATCCTGACACAAGTTTAAAAAATACAGTCCAGCATAAAATGTCCAAGCAACCAGTTTAAGTGAGACCATATGCAGTCTTACAATTGAGTCAAATAATTAAATTAAATATCAAGATTGTAACGATGGCAAGCCAAAATACAATAAAAAGTCTCTGTGGCAATAGCACCAATTCTACATTGTTGTCGGCCAAATAAAGTGCAGGTTTTCTCTCGTTTCTTTCTTTCTTTCTTTTTTTTTTTTTTTTTTTTTTTTTTTTTTTTTTTTTTTTTTTTTTTTTTTTAATAAGGGATTTTGATCTTAGCATGTAGGCTCTGATACCAATTGTTGAATTTAACAATAATCATGCTAAGAAATAAAAATCACAATTCTAAATTAATAGTTTAAGAGATATACCTGCGAAAAAACATCTTAAATGTAAATAGCGGCAACTAGATCTTTCTTTCCTTGTTTCTCAAAAAATTATTAATCGTCAATGGGGGGTAAGCTAATAAAAAAATAAATGGAGAAGAGAGGGTATCTAGCCTTTTATAAAATTATTGAGTCGTTCTATTAATGATTCAAACCCTAATTAGGGTTTACATATTTCTGACCCGCATGCTTAAATTACAACATTATATAGGATATGACCTTATCTGACTAAAGTGTAAAATGGTCCAAGTGATCACTCGACATAATGCTCTTAGCCATAGTATCGTTATGAAACTATATATCTAACCACTTTTATAAAACATAAAATTTGCAATCAAATGAAAAGCCATATTTTGAAATTATTCTAACATAAATTTCCATATATCAGAACTTCAAAAACTTGACTTTCTTTATCAAAATCTCAGCAAAAAGAGCTCAAGAATCTACCAAAACCCAAACCTCGATCAAATCTAAAAATACATTTTCTTGTTGATTATAGAACACCAAAAACAGATCAATAGGGGAAAAAAAGGCTTCTATTTTTTCTCAACTTAATCATCAATCGTCAATTCTTCCACTTTCAGGCAGTGAACTGCAAAAGCAGTTTTAGACAGCTATAAAAGTCACCAATATTAAAGTAACACATAAGAATTTAAAGGGACCATAGGGAATTGGCAAGTGGGGGAGGTGATCTAAGGGGAAAATGAACAGGTTTAGGCCAACTAGAAATGTGGAAGAGGATGTGAAGGAGAATTTTACGTATCATCATGAGAGAGACAATTCATGACAACTTCGTCCCAGCAAAACCGACTTAATGATAAAAAAATTAAAGAACACCAAGAATTTTTTGCTCTAACGTCCGGATGTTCACCCAAAAATGGGCTAATCATTACATTGATCATCCACTAAAATGATTATTGGTGTAATCAACCAGAAACCAAGATTATCCATACAAGAATCATGACTCAGAGACGCAAGCCTAACTGAAATCAAGTCTGAACTTGACAGTGAATCCAAACCCAAAGAGTGACACAACTCAACAATGAGCACTAATGCAAACTAAAGCCCAGGCCAATAGCAAACCTAAACCCAAACAATAACCCAGTCCAAGAGTGAACCCAAACTAAAGCCCATCCCAATAGTGAACCTCAACATAACCTAGACGAAAATACAGTCAAATCTAAACAATAATCCAACCAAACAGTGAATCCAAACACAAACTAAAGCCCATCCCAAAGGAGAGTAGAACCAAATTAAAAACTAACCTAGCAATGATATGTTATAAATAACATGTATTGCACATATACGATTGGGTAATAACTCATCCTTTGTTTACTATATGCAAGCCATTTTTAAGTCTCGTGAGGAAGTGCTTTTATTAATTTAACTTTATTTTTTTCTTAAAACCTAACTCGGCAATGGTATATTATAAATAACATGTATTGCACGTATAAAATTGGGTGATAACTTTGATTTCTTTTTTGGATATACTTTTAGGGGACCGATTCAGGATCAGACTGACGTGTATACTTTCACCTATCTTCAAGATACTTGGTTCATTTTATGATTGAAACTTACTGCACACGTACAAAAACTATGAGTCACGTTGTACTCAAGAAAAAAAAGAATTGTATTGGACTATACCAAATTAGTGTTTCTATTGTGGAACATAAATGATAAATGCTTAAAAGTCAATCATATAATTATCAACTACTTTTAGTAATGCGTGACCGCTAATATCAATATACTATAACAATTACTATTTTTATCACTTAAAAGTTAAAACTCCAAAGAAGAAATTTAAATTCTTTATGTTTGCTTAAAGGAAAATTTAAGCCAAAATCATATAAAAAGATATTTTTGTTGGTTGACCTAACCTACTTATAGAGTAGTTAGAAAGTAGGTTCTGAACGTTTAAAATGTAAAAAGTTGATATAGTTGTCCAATAATAATTTATTTATACTGTTCTATTATTTAATAGACAATGATTATATTTCTGGTTGTTATAGAACTAACAAAATATACACAAAGTTTATATTTATGGAAATTGTGAATAATTTTATTCGCGATAAAACTAGTTACACTTTAATTTATATAATAAGAGGTATGGATAACATTAAAAATAAAATAAAATAAAATAAAATCTTAGTCGATCTAATGTACTATGTTTGCATATCATGTGCAAGCACGTACACAAGTGTGTCATAACCATGTATTGAACCCGACCCACTAGTCCAAGCCGAAATTGAAATCCAAAATAAACCCAAACCGAAACAATAATCCAGTCCATTAATGAATCCAAATCAAAAGTAAAGCCCATCCTACAGTGAGCCAAACCAAAAACTATAAGCTAGCCCAAGCCCAAACAATTCCCAACATAACAATGAGCTTCACAAAAAACTAAAGCCCACGCCAATAGTAAAACAATGCCCAAACCGTAACCCAAATCTAAAGCCCATCCTTTTAGTTTGGGTTTGGGTCCAACAGTGAATCCAAACCCAATCCAAAGCCCATCCTTATAGTGAAGTAAACTATATTAATTCCAAGATAATTCTGAACCCAAACCCACCCAAACCAAAGCTCAGTCCAATAGTGAACCCCACCCACTAATTGAAGCCCAAGCCTAAACCTCAAATAACAACTAAACCCAAACAGTAACATATCTCAACAATGAACCTTAACACAAACTAAAGCCGAGGCCAATATGACCCCAAACCCAAACAATAACCTAATCCAGCCCAACAATGAACCCGAACCCAAACTAAAGCCTAGTGCAACGTACACAAACCCGACGAAATATGTAGCCAAAAGTGCAAACCAGATTAAAACCCATCCCAACGGTAAACCAAAATCAAAATAAGCCATATTTTGATTTCCATTATTTTCAAAAAATATTTTCTTTTTTTTTCCAATCATATTTTTCAATAAAATAATATTTTAGGCAAACCCAAAATTTTTTTTTATATTTTTAACTGCACATTCTCTATCAATTTGATTATTCCAAAATGTATTCTATACCAAAAATGGAATTCAAACAGACTCTAAAGAACATTGGAAAGACTATACTGTTCAAAAATAAGGTGGTATGATTTTAATTTTACAAATCAGATAATTCAAATTTTTTATATTAGAAATAATATTATAATATTAAATTAATTTACCTACACACCCCCATCCCATCCCACCCCGATTTCTACTTACAAACCCTAATTACTTTTCCCCTCTCTCTCTCTCTCTCTCATATTCCTTCTCTCTCTACCCCTTCATTCTCTCTCTTTATCACACAAGAAGTATTGCTACAGCAACGGCAATGCGTTACGCTACTACACCATGGTGGCTTGAGTCCGCTACTATGCGCCACAGTTAGAAGGGTGTCACCGTCCACTTCTAGGTGAATAGCCCTTCCACTGCCTAATTCCTTCACAAAAAAGAAAAGAAAACCAAAAACAAAACAATTCTTCATTTCTCCACCATTACACCACTTATCCTCCTTTACTTATACATATGTGGTAACATCTGAAATCTGGTAACATATGTAATAAATGCATTATATAATATTGATTCTACTTACAAAGTCTACTGAAGATCGATGACAACAAGATTGACGTGTTTGAAAATCGATGATATAAGGCCACACATCTTCCAAGCTGTAGTTTCCCCTGACCAATGACTCTGTTGGAAACATTACAAGAGTATCTGAAATTCTTACACAAGTTCAAGGTAATAATAGTGAATGCATCAGAATAGATCCAAGAGTCAGAAGAAAGCTTGCTTCCAATTTTCAGCCATGTATAAGGTGTTGGAAATATTGTTTGCACACTGGGAGTGGAGAAGAAACAAAGAACAAGATGAAGAGATGGAAAAGAAAGGCTTAAACACGTAATCGTTGTCCTCAAACAATATTTTTCCTCTCGAATTGAATTTGATGCTGAAAGGGATTTTGGCAAATGATTTAGAGGATTAATCAAGCCTTATAAAGGATATAACACATAAGCACTTAATGAAATCCTCTAAAACATAAGAACACAAAATCAGGAATTTTGAATATGATGTAGAAGGATATTTTTATCTTTTTGTGGAATGATCTTTTGTGAACATATAGTTTTCTCCAATGAGTCTAAAAACTTTTGCTTTGAATATTGATCACCTATTTATAGATATCGATCAATACTCCACGAATTTGTGTCAAAACTTCACAAAAAGATACAAGACATCCCCCAAAAAGCCACCAAAATTCAAACAAAAATCGGTCCTAATAGCTAGCAAAAGTGTTCTATGCGGTTGCATAAAACAAACCTATGCGACAGCATAGTTTGTCCGAAGGTAAGGCCTGCAAATGACCATGTGACCACACGCCTTTATGGCCTATGCGGACACATAGGTCAATATATCCGGCCTTGATCCCTTTTTTATTCCACACACGTTTTATTAATCTTTGAACAATATTCAATGTAAGAGACTAACATTAACTTTGCAAGATTTCAACTAACTCCAAAGGGAGGGGGTTCAGCCTCATGATTTGACCAAAAGTAGAAATCAATTGAAAAGAATTTGTTCAATGAACACAAAATATGCATATGGAGTTCTCACCGATTTTGACCATGGAGGCTGCTCATTTGGTTGTACTTCCATCCAATCCCTCTTTGCAAAATTGTAATTATTCTATATAGACCATAAAAGACATGACAATCAATCTCAACATATAAATGTAATAGAATTCAGGATCAGCTTTTAATCACTATTGCAATCAGGTGATTTTAGGCACTCGATTTTTTCAATAGCAAATTACATTTCAAGTGCACCAATTGTATCAAAAGATAAATATAGACAACAATAATGTGATCCTTCAAAATTTTTTATAATACTTTCAAGTTCTGAAGATCCAAAAACACTATAGGATATATTACATGGAGGAAAAATGATCAATAGAAAAAGTAAAACATATTTTCAGAAGATATTGTCGTCCATTAAGTATCACAGTATAAGCTCAACTAATGCACAAGTTAATGAAACCGTCCAAACAACGTCATTGCAGAAGAAAATAAGTAGAATATAAAGTCCAGAGTAGTTTATCATGTCTAGATATAAACATCCAGTGCTTGTGCTCCAAAAAGAACCAAGCAGAAAGGATCCAAGTTGATGTCATGGAGAATATTAGAGATGGATAAACTTATCGACCTTAATATGGCTCACAAGTATAAATACAAAATAATAAGAACGCACGAAAGCATTTTCATCAACAGGAAAATCTTCATCTTTTATTTAATGACATAGTTTGCATAAATATATTGTGGTGTATTGATAACACTTTTGTCTGTACAATGTCATAGTTTCTGTACGAGCAACTCTTTCCCATCTCATCACGCTGCTTTTTCATAATGCAAATAAAATCATTCACACTGCCATTGAGATTTTAATATAGCTCACTAAGGTAGTAGATTTCATGTATCAAGGAACTCACTTGAATAAAAGCCCAAAGGATTGTTCATTGTCTTAAAAAATGAGCTTGTATGAGTCCTTGAAAACATAGTGCCGAAAACTTGCAGCAAGAACAACCAGTCCACCATTCTTTCAATAGAAAGCTACATCTCAGCTATCCCAACTTGATTTCTAATATTATAGGCAAAATGGGTAGAAATTAAGGCAGTAATTACAATCAAGTACATGATTGCTTGTTGCCATCAAACATTTTAAACACAGAATCCAATAGATACAGGTTACAGAAGAAAGCCACCCTCCTACTTTACATTTAGCATTTCACAACTTATTAGACATACAATCACTCCCAAAATGAGTGGGAAGTTACTTTCAAGTCTTGTTGCCACATAAAAATAAAAATAATCGTGTAAATGTTGTGAAATTATTTGAAAAATGAATTTGGTCTATGTTTGAGTGCATTCGTTGAAGAAAAAATTTGAATAACCATCTCTGCCTATTGGGAAAAAATTTATTGTATCAGGAATTTGCATCGGGGATAACCAGTGGTTCATTTTTTCATTATATTACAAAAGACACAAGACTTATGTTCAAGTCTTGTTGTCACCCATGAGAATGTGTGAATATGGTTTGCAGTTGAGAGAGTGTGCAACCCTTGAAACAAGATTTAATGGACACCAATTTGAAGTATAATACAAGATCGCAAAAATACCATGAACAAGATTAAAGTAAAGAAATAAACTGGCAGAGGAACGATGTTATTTTATTCCATCAATGAAATGAGAGAATTACAACAATTTGCTTCAACAATACTGAAAGAGGAGACTCATATTTATACCACAAGAGTCTAGCGCTAAAAGAGTCCTAAAAAGGTAAGAATTCTATGTTTAGCGCTAAAAGAGTCCTAAAAAGGTAAGAATTCTATGTTTAACGTGAACAGGAAAAAAAAAACGAGACAAGGAGTTTGTTTCCTTATTTTCCGGATACTATTTGATTCTCCAAATCCATCACGCATCTTCAAGATTTCCTTTCCAATTTGAGTCACCAACTCTAAAAATTAGCCCTTAAATTAGTGTGGTAGCTTGTGAACTCTTTAACCATGAAAAACTGATTCTTTGGTTTAAATCAATAATTTCAATTGAATCAAGAAATGACGAAAGCCCCACACAGAATCCAGAACATAGAAACTTAATAATAGGGATAAGAATGATACCTGGTAAGGAGAAGACTGAGAAGGCAAAGGGCATACTGAGTAGCTCAATCTTGAACAGAAAGAGAAGCCAAATTTACTGCTAAAGAAGTATGTATTTGTAATGGTTGAACCTCAACACCACACCAATTTCACACAACCTGGAATTAATAAACTCAAATAACAAATTGAATTTTATTGCTTACTGAAATAAAGTGCAATAATGAGAGGACTACAGGAGAATTGATAGAGAAAGGGGAAGAGATAGAAGAAAGACTTGGGGAAGAAGAATCTAATTCACATTACAAATTCTCCCATGTTTCCCTAATTACAATAGTTATAACAGACTAACCAGGAAGAAAATGCGAATGCTGAGAAGAAAAGGCGTTTAACTCATACAATTTGATTATAACTGAAATGACATCGGTCATTTCTAAAACAAAATGACATCATTTAATTTCCATCGAAACGACGTTATTTCAAATATCTGAATTTGAATATTGGATATGACCATTAGCCCTCGTCTTCCTCTCTCTATGTCCTGTGTCTGCTCCTTTTTTTTCCTTCTAATGCCACTTCCATTGATTCCCTTCTTCTCCTTCATAACATCCCTTCCCCTTCGACCAACCTTGTCCCCAAGGTTCAGAAGATTGAGGTACATCACTCTTCCATTGTTCTGGTATGTCAAAGATAGGCATTTCCTTCTCGCCAATTTTCTTCTTCAGTAGTAAAACATGAAAAACAGGATGAATGTAAGCTCCAGCAGATAGTTTTAGTTTATTTACGACTTTTCCAATTTTTGAATTACTTGGTAAGGTCCATAGTATTTCGCAGCCAATTTCCTATTAACCCTCCTGGCCATGGAGTGTTGAGCAAATGGTGCAGTTTAAGGTATACCCAATCCCCTAGCTGAAATTCTAGTTCACTTCTATGTTTATCGGCTATATATATATATTGCACGGATACAAGTTCTTCGTAACGATACTTCACCTACTATTTTTAGGCCGTTTTATGTCTTGTGGGACAGTTAAATGTATGTAATAATAATTAAATATTAATATCGTTTTCATACTTATTTTAATGTGTTTCATAGAAACGTAGTTTTTTTTTGGATAAGGTAAATATCAAAGTGTAAAAATAAAGTACAAATCACAGGGGCATACCCCAGGAAACAATGCTAGGAATAAATGCCTTCCTAACAACAATAACAGAAACCTAGATTAGTGCTCATATCCTAATCACGACAATAAAAAATATTCGCAGAAAAACCCCAAAAGCGTTGGAGCCACCTATTCTCATTAGATGGAACCAAACCCCTACATGAATTCACTCATGCACAAATAGAGAAAATAATATTTCGAATAACAGCAGACTCATGTTTAGGAGCCTCCCCATAGGTCTTAGCATTGCGCTCACGTCAAATAACATAAATCGAAGCTGCAAACATCAACCGAATAACGATGGAAGACAATGACTTCCCACGAAATTGTTCCATCCAAGAAAGAGTACCTGGCCAACGCCGTTGAACCCAAGGCAAGTTACATTTCGCATGCAAAGTATTCCAAACACGCTCAGAAAATGGGCAAGCAAAAAAAAGATGATCCAAATCCTCCACTGAACAATCACACAGCACACAACGCATAGACTGTACCAAACTAAAGCGAAGAAGCTTTGTCTGTGTATAGATGCCACCTTGAATAGCTAGCCAAAGGATGAATGCATGACGTGGAATACATTTAGGGAACCAAACAATATGATACCAAGCTACCCTAGGGCAGTGAAGTCGAAGAGACTCCCAAGCACTCCGAACAGAGAACACTCCCTGTGCATCAACCTCCCATCGCAATACATCTTCTCTATTACTATCCGGCCGAAAAGTAGTAAGCGTATCTCGCATTAAGTCGAATAAAGCTGGGGAACGAACTGATGGCCATCTCCAAGTATCACCCTCAACAATAACAGCCACCTCAGCTAGTCTACTCAATTTGGATTCACGAATTATCCTCTCTCCAAAAATCTTCTCTAAAAGGCCAAGAGGATGCCAATTATCATACCAAAGCGAGGCACGTCTACCATTACCAATTCTGAATTTCATTTTGTGCCCTCCTATATCTCGGAGTCCAAGAATCTTCCTCCAACTCCAAGAGCAATCCCCAAGACACTTCAATTCCCAAATGCTCCGTCCTTTAAGTAAATAACAACGTGCCCATGAAACCCAAAGAGAGGAGGCAGAATCCGTGCAAAGGGACCAAAGGTGCTTTAACATGACAGCCTTATTCCAAATCTCCAAGCTCCGTAGACCCAAACCACCCTCCTCTTTAGGCACACAGATTTTTGCCCAAGCCACTTTAGCCCCACTGGTGCCAAGGTCACTACCCTTCCACAAGAAGGCTCGCAATGAATTTTCCACTTGCTTGATCACAGCCTTAGGTAAAAGAAATACAGAGGACCAATATACCTAAATAGAAAATAATACTGACTTAATAAGTTGTAACCTGCCTGCATAGGAGAGAGCTCGACAAGTCCAACTCTTAGCCCTAGCTATAATTTCATGGCCGAATAAAAAGGAGATAAAGGAATTGTATTTGCCTCTGCTAAATTTGTCTTTCTATAATTGTAAACAAATGATAGACGTTAAAAAGTTAATTTTACAGTTATGTTAATGTCAATGTTTTTACAACAACTAACTTTTATATGTTTTAGAATGATAAACTATGCCCCTATTTGTTTCTCATTTTTGGAAGAATGAAAATGAAAAATATAGTTGTTACGAGCCCCACACAAGAGATAGAAATTCAAATTTGGTAATTTGATTTGATGGATAACGGTCATATTTTTCATTTTAATGAGAAAAGAATGGGAAACAAATAGGGGCTATAACAGGGTTTATTTTCATTACCTAAAATACCAATGATGAAACATGAATGCTTCACGTTTTCTTTAAGGAAAAATATGATCCACAAGCAAGATAATGTTATATCTTGTTGGTGGGGTGAATGAAGTCATTAAGCTTTGGTCGTGCTTAGCATCCTTCAAGATAGTAGTGGGCCATACCCAACTTTCGGTGCTAGTAGCAAGTTGGTTTTCAACGTTTAGCATAGCAAGTTGCTCGAGAATACTTTCAAATATAGCATTTTATTATTTAATAGACAACAATTACTTATCTACTCGTTATAGAACTCTAAAATTATCCGCAAAGATCGCATTTGCAGCAGTTGTGAATCAATTTATTCATAATTTCCAACTTCTAACCGATTAGATCAAATACAATATAACAGCTATCAAATTAGTTGGCATAGATAATCCTTTTTTTTTTCTCATAACTTCTTATTTTATTTTTGTCACACCCGTGCAGTTTTGAGCCTTTTCATAATTTAAGCAGGCTTGTAATTTGTGACCGACGTGCGTTTATATACACAAGAGGTTACCCAAAAATGTTAATGGCAAGAAATGAGTTACACTGTAATCTATACATAATCAGATTCGAGGTATGTGTAATTAAAGAAAAAAAATTCTTGCTCGAACTAATAAACTATGTTATAAGATTTGGAGTCCATTTTAATAAGGTCAACCTTATTAAGAGGAGTGATCCAAGATCTATTCAAATTGGTCAATATTTCGGTATTTAACCGATGTGTGATTTATTCTGTTAACATGCCCCCGCAAGATGGTGGCTCTTTTTTAGCAGACCAATTTTGAAATCCGTATGCTCATTTTTTAGACTTAATCGGATCGGATAGCTCGTTGGATCTTACTGGGCTCTGATACCATGTTAAGATTTGGGGTCCATCTTAATAAAGTCAATCTTATTAAGAAGAGTGACCCAAGATCTATTTAAGTTTGTCAATATTTCGGTATTTAACCGATGTGAGATTTATTCCTTAACTCTATGTTTGCACAACACTCACACGCAAAATCGATTATCTATCATAAATAACAAGCATT